AAAAACTTACAACATACTATTAAATGGTATCACTTGCAACAAAATAATCCAAGAAATTATGAAAGGTATTTATGGGGAAAATTATTAAAATGCATGAGAAATTAAAATATAACCTAAATAAATGATCTTGGGTAGTAAGATTCAATACCATAAAGGTTTCAGTTCTCTCTAAAATGACTTATACTTTAGATTCAATACAATTCCAGGTAAAACTACAAAAAGGATGCTCCATAAATCTTGACAAAGTAATCTAAAATTTATAAGTAATTAAGTATGAATATAGGGAAGAAAAGAAACATATGTCACCTATCTCATCCCATTAATAAAAAATAAAATAGCTTCAAAAGGATTAAAAATATATATGTGAAAGACAAAACTACAAAAATATTTTAGGATAACATAAGAGAATATTTTCACAATGTTAGAGTAGAAATGACTTAATAAACACAATAGTGACAAATTTGAGGTGCTGGGTGACCAAAGGGAAGGGACTAAGCCAAAACAAAAAACAATAGCTCACAGAGACCGACAATAATATGATGGTTACCAGAGAGAAAGGGAGTATGAGGGCAAAGGGGAGAGTAAGTGGTGATGGAAGGAGACTTGACTTCAGTTGGTGAACATATAATACAATGCACAAATGATGCATGATAGAATCATACACTTGAAACCTATATAATATTATTAACCAGTGCTACCCTGGTAAATTTAAAATAACAAATATAAAATGAAAAAAATAAAATGAAAACAATATTAAAGATTTTCATGTTTTTTAAGAAGAAAATCTTAAAAATACAATTAAGAAGACTAACCACAAATGGGAAAGGATATTTGCATATAACTGGCCGTCTAACTTTCACAGTTTATAAAACCCTCCTAAAATTACTATTTAAAAAAAAACAGAACAATAAAGCAACAGCAACAGACTTGAACAGGCACTTCCAAAAGAGGACATTCAAGTGGTCATTAAACAAATAAAAAGGGGAGCAACTTCATTCGTATTGAGCAAAGACAAAGTAAAACCACAATGAGATATTATAGAAGCACAAAACTGGAAAAATTAAAAATCCACAGTAAAAGGGTTGGCATAAATTTGAAACATTAAGAATGCTGTTATACTATGCTTAGACACATACATTGGTACAACTTTGGAAAAGTCTGGTGCTATGTAATAAAATTCTGTATAGGCATAGCTAGTAATTTTACTAAAAAAATATACTATGAAGAAATCCTTAAGTGGGCACTTGCAGGTATGTATAACAACATTTTCAGCTGAACATCACATAACAATTTTAACAAAAAATACCTCAGACTTTCATCCACCATGGAATGCATAAACTATTATATATTCATATAGTAAAATATTTTACAATTAAAGTAACAGCAGCTGTGCATGTCAATATAGACTAATCTCATAATATTTACTGAAAGAAGTCAAGAATACTTCTAAATACATACCTTAAAATTAAATATTGGAATGATCTCAACTACAGAGTTTTGAAAAATACCTATGGATTATAAGGAAAATCAAAGGAATTTTTAGGCCAAAATTCAGTCTACAGGTTACTTCTGGAAGTATGAATACAGTTTTTATAACTTGTTTTTGGATATAAAACATTTTTTGTAATTAAATTATCAAAGAATATAAATGTTTAAAAAATCATATTAGGAAAAGGAAGTCTATATTTTAGTGTGAAGTTTAAAGTTATATTTAAAATAAACAGTCTAGTCTCTTCTATTAGTTTGGAAGATATTCTTTATCCTTAAATTACTTTCAGAATATTTTTAGAATGGAAAACATGGATTGGGTTAAATGGATAAACTATATGTATTCATATATATATATGAATTTGTGTGTATATATGTATATATATACATACACATATATAACATGTTATACCATTATTTGTCACAAGAGGGACTACATAGTCAGAAAGTACAATTTTCTCTTTTGGCCTCGAGAATATTTCTGTCTTAACATTTATGTTTTACACTGTGTATTCTTGTCAGTTTATTATGTTATAGAGCGTAATACTGCTATATATATTTTATATCAACAAAAATTTTAAGATAAATACTCCCTTAAAATAGTTTGCCATTTTAATTCTTAATGGATAGAAGACTGTTCAGAAACTATTTACCTTACTGAGCTATGATCTTTTTTTGGTTTATCTGCTTTATGGCAATAATTGTTTTCCTTTTTCTATTAGTGCTTAACACTTTAAATATTGAATGGATTTTTTCATATCTATTTGTTTTATTTATTTTTCTTACTTGATTTCAAGATATATGTAAGCATCTGCAACCAATCCAAAATTTGATGACTCAGACTGATTATGGATTTATTGCTAAAACAAAAGATCCAACAGTATTCACGACCTAGATTTCTGTCCACTTAACCAGTGGTTTTTAAACCCTGCTCTGAGGATCCTAAGTGTCCCTGGAAACTCTTTCACAGTCACAGTATTTGGGGAAGGTGGGGTACTTTACTGAGACTTAACTTCTTAGATATTGCTTTCTTCACTTAACTTCTTAGATATTGCTTTCTTTTATAAAGCTTTTATTTATAGACGTAGTAAGCTTCAAATAGTTTGAATGTCACTAGCCTAGACAGGATAGTAAAATCAGTTAAGGTTTATAAAATATTTTCCAGTGTGTTACTTTATTAGCTAGTTTCAAGTAAAATGTGAGCTCTACTAGCTAATACACATCTTCTACACCACTGTAGCCAGAGCAGAGAACAAATTGCATGTGGTTCTGCAATAAAACAATTAAAATAATGAACACATGTCTTAAATGAATAAACAACTCCAGAAGATAGGCAAAGCAGGTATTAGTTGGTTTTTATCAAAAAAGAAAGAGAAGCTCAGAATGACAACAAACTTACACACATAATCCAAGATTACCACATCCTGGTTCCTAATACTTTGGGGATCAAATTGGGGAAAAGAAAAGAAGGAAAGAACAGGGAACAGGGAAAGAAGGAAAGAAAAAGAGAATTTATTTTGTTTTTCTCTATTCTACAACTGCCTCTCATATACTTGAGCAAAAAAGGATTAACCATAGTAAAGAAAGAAAAATGTTAATTTCATTTATTTTGCCTTCATTTTTGAACAAAAATGGATTGGCAGTATGGACTAAAAAATGTTATGTTCTAATTAATAATGTGCGTGGGGCCATCCTACTTCTCTTTCATACACTAAAAAGATTCTTTTTCACGGCACCACTCATTTTACAGGAGCTCTGGGCTGTGAGCACATGTTTGAAGTGCTGCCCTTTTCTCCAGGTGCCCTTGCCTTCCTCTTCTCCCCGGTCATTTAACCATCTGGAAGGGGCTGGTTTCTCACTTCCTCTCTGTTGGTCTGGGATTCCCCTGAGTACTCGCCCCCATCCTGAGGTGACTCCTGTCCTACCCTTCCCTGGAGTTAGGATGGTGGTAGTCAGGGAAGGAGTTTAAGGGTTCAAGGGATAAAAATCACATCAGGTTTTTTACATATTAACCACATAACACTTAGACATCAACCTTAAACCATATAGACATATGTATTTTTTTTCTATGGTATTAAATTACCACAAACCTCCAGACTTACAACAGTGCAAATTTATTATTGGGTAGGCCAGAAGTCCAGTATATCCTCACCAGTCACTGTACATCACTCTAGAAAACTTTTTTCAGTCTTCTTTTCAATTAGGTACAGCCACACGATTACATAGGTGCATAGTAAATGTTACATACCCTTTACATAGGTGCATAGTAAATGATAATAGGAAAAAATCTTAGGTATTATGGTTTCCATTCATGTTTAGTGTTTAATATATCGTGTGGAATATATTGATAATATAATGCAAGTGATTAGAAAAGAGCTAAAACTATTGAAAAAGTTCTGCAACAAATCTTGTTTAACTCTTTAAACTGTTGAAAATCATGTTTTCCTGTGAGGTATTGACCTTTTGTCTCTGATATTTTCAAGTGATAAGCTGTATCATTGTTAGTCCAAGAATTGAAGCAGAATTCTGACATTTGGTGGGAGAATAACTTCTAATGTTCCCATTTCAAAACCATTTGCTGACAATGTTCGTTTCTTGATCTGGGTGCTTATCGCGCTTGTAATCTTATGTCCAATATAGTTCACTTACAACATGTGTTCTTTTTAGCATGTCTATTATTTCAGTAAAAAATCTAACAAATCGATAAGTCAATTACCTTTATCTGTGAGACAGGTCAGTTGTTTACATAAGCTTCTTAGCTTTTTATACCCATCTCTATCTTCATGAAGTAAATGTAAAACTTCTCTTAACTCCATGTCAATGAACATCATTCACTCAAAGTTCTGAGACCTCTCCTGTTAGAATTTTGATTTGATAGTCCTACATGATGGTAATAACAAATCAGCTTAAAATGTGTCTTTTTTTTAAAGAACTAATTTATAGAATATACAAACTATATAAGGCCTTCTATGGGAGTTTTTTAACTTCATTTCACTAATCAAGTTATTTTTTCCTAAACAATATTTGACACAGAGACTATATGACAAATGTAGACCATCACATACAAAGCTTATCTAGACAAAATCTCCCTGAAGAACCGGTCTGAGGCAGAAGCTGGGGAAAACCACTGACCTAGTGCAGTCTTCCTCAATTAACAGAAAATACACCAAAATCCGGAGCTGGAAAGGATCTCACCCAGACTAAACAATTAGAAAGTTGGTATGCTGATAAGCCCTAACTTTTCTTCTGGGCTGCTTGATTTTGGATAATTTATTTAAATTCTCCTAGCCTCAGCTTCTTCAGAGGTAAGAAGGATGTAGTAATACGTACTTCCATGATGCCCAAACAGTAAGAGGCAGTGTCTGGCACGGCGTGGGTGTGAATGGCTGGTAACGATTATGGTCATTCCAATTCTGAAGAAAAAGCACCCAGCTCTGCATAAAATAAAGGAGCAAAAATTACAATTGGTAACTTGGACTTTAGCTTAAAAGTGTTCTCCTTGGTTGTTTCAGGAAAGTAGTAGATCACCCAAAAAGGCGATTTGGTATCCCCATTGATCGGATTGGTGGAAATCGGCTTTCAAACTCTAGAGGCTAATTGTCTCCAATCGTAAGTACAATTTGAATATGTAACAATACATGCAAGCTTTTACTATTCCACAATGGACTAATTGATCCATCTTAGTTTACAAATCCTTCTTTTGATTTCCTAGCTTATAAACATTTTCAAACAGTTCCATACTCAGTTAAGTATGTTGAGGCTAAATAATTTAAATAATGTTACAAAATTAAAAGAATGTCCTCCATCATGAAATATGATTTAGATATTGTCATTATTGAATGACAGTATATAATTGTCATTCCTATATAATTATTGCATGTCAATATGCAAACAAAGGTTAAAGTTCTAATTAGCATGATAAATTACCTTCACAAATGTACATAATAATTACCAACCCCTCTATTATAAAGACACATTCCAGTGGCATACACCAATTTATTACAAATAACATCACCAGAATTATGATAACACGGAACATAGGAGAGAGAGTGGTATAGCAGAAAGAGTACTAGCCATGGAATCAGAGCACTTAATCCAAATTCTGGTTCTATCATTTATTCATTATCTTGTTTCCACTAAGACAATTTACTTCTCTTTAGCTTGAAAATTTAGATAATAACACAGTGTGGTTGTGAAAATTAAATTAGATGCTAGAAGGTATTGGGCATATAATACACGCATATGGTAACAGCTTATAAAACAGTTCTGAAAATTTACTTTGTGCTGGACCCTATACTTAATGCTAGACATGCATTGCTTCATTTAGTCATCTTGTTCCATAGGTACTATTACTATCTCCAATACATTGAGTAGTAGTACAATAAAAGGGGTAAAGTGCCAAGTAAGAAGGTCAAGCTTTATGGGTTAAATTCCAGGCCATGGAATCCCAGGTCATCAGTTAGATGTGAGACCTTGTTAAATTCTGAAGTCTTCCTCCATAAAGTGAGAATTACAATAATTTCTAATATGTTACATTGTCCTGAGGACAAAATTAGTTGATATACATTAACCACTTAGAATAGTGCCTGACATGTATTAAGTCATAAATAATCATTAATTATTATTATACAAATAAGTGGAAAGCTTAATTACATTAACTCACAATGCCGCATAGCTAGTAAGTGATACAAGTAGAATTCAAATCCAGAAATCTTAAATCCTGAGCTTTATTTTAAACAGTGTATTTAATTGTACATAGTATATGTTTTAAACACTAAATATGTGAGAAGTATAAAATCTAGTCTAAAAATTCTGTGCCATCAGAGCTTAGAGAGGGTGCATCTTCCCTCCCAAACAGATGAGACCACCTGGAACTGCTCTGACAGCTTCGAGCTACGGAAAAGAAAACTCTGCTTTCTGCTTTTCTCAAGAAAATCCTCAGATCAACGATGCAGAGAGAGGCCCAGGAAGCATCCCATTTGGCCTGACCTAATTTAAATCATGCTATTGTTTTTCGCATCAAATGCTCTAAACCACAATAAGTCAGTATTTACCTCAACTTTCTTGCTTTCAGAATGACTGAGTTAAAATATTTTATGGGATCAATGATCAGTGAAATTATTATGAAGTTACTGTATGCTTTCATAAATACACGAGGACTTAGTGAATACGGCCAAGAACACTAACTTCTGAGCAGGGCCATCTTCAAATCTCATGTTGAACTTTGTATTTAGCAATATATGAAATATGGTCACTCTTCAAGGGTTGTTAAAATCCACCCATCATATGTGAGCAGGAACTCATTGTTAATAAAGATCAAGTAACTCCTTGAAATCAGAGCCACCATCTTCCAGTTTCTTGATATATTGAGAATGTTATGACACTTGGAATTAAAATAATTAAGTTTAATTGGTTTCCACATGTACCCTATCACCTTAGCCACACTTGATCATTTTAGTATTTCTGAGCTCAACCGAAACAGGTTAGGATAAGAAAAAAATCATACAGGGAATTAATTTTTATGTCAATTTTCATGTAAAGTTTTAGGCCCTAAAAACTCCAGATAGCTACTAAACTATGAAAAGGGGTGTTTACAGACTCACTGTTTTGGGGTAAAATTCAAATTACTATATTATATCCTTCACTTAACAGACTTTGTGGGGTGTTGTGACAACCACTGTCTCTATTAATAAAATCTCAAGACAGAAATAACATGCAAAGTAAGGTCAGAAAAGAGCTGAACATCGTATGTTTTATTTTCATTTTGTCGACCATCATGGGTTCAGCTGCTCAACCATTACATTTCAATTCTTCATTTCCTGCCATTCTCACCAAGCTTCCTCAGGTATTGTTTAACTTCCTCATGTGAAGTTTCATGTTTGATAGCTCCTGAATAATAAAAGACATGACATATATATTACTAATTTCCATTTAATTTTTTTGGTATACCACTTTCTTTTGTCACAATATTCTTTTGGATTAAATAGGAGATGTATGTATCTTCTAATAGATAAGAGTCATTATAATAATCTCTAATGACTTAGTTGTGAAATGAAGTCCTTAGAGATTCAAGAACATAAATCTAATTTTAAACCTTTTTTTTCCTTTTTAACAAATGAGAATACAGGGACTGTGAGAGGAAATTGACTTGCCACAAATTTTACAGACACTTAGAGCAAGATCCAGAAGCAGGTCTCTGGCCTCTAGACCAGCATTCTCTCTACAACCCATAAGGTCTTGTGGGCACCAAATTGTCATTGCTATGCTGATGTCACTGGTTATACACTTCTAAAACGAATGGAAACACTAACTCAGACTTTGTGAAAATCTTGGCTTCACTTCTGTGGGTGAACATGTATATATACCATTTAAGAGCAGGTTTATTTGTGCGTTTTCACCTCTGGGTTTCACTGTAAGCGTTCACACTAAAAGTGAAACTAGTACTGATCGTGGAATTTTGCCTCATTAGAGGTCAAGTCTAGAAACAGCTCATATGTGTTATCTAGGTTTCAGAAAAGAAAATGCTGCTCTCTTCCCTGATATGTGTTTTAGAAAGGACAATAACCTAATATTTATACAATATTCTCCTCATATCATTAATTTATAAAACTAAAGATTTAAAAGTTTAATAGGCCTCAGTTTTAAGTAACTCAAATTCAAAGAGGTATATTTGTCTTGGGTTCATAAATTCTATAGATGCAAATAGCAAGTTCTAGGTTTTTGCCATTGAAATAAGGATGCTACTTGATGAACTTTCATAGAAATATGACCATTAATTGTGCTCCCCTTGGCTGTCATATGCATTAAGACTTTTAATAATGTGAGGCACATGTTGCTGTATTATACTGGCAATTTTTGTTTTAGAACAATATCAATATGTCATCATTCAAATAAATTAACATACCTCAAATAAAAAAATATGTTATAATGCCACTATTTGGTTGGATTCTTAACACAGAGCAAAATGTACTACAAATATCAACATGTTATCATAACAATAAACAGAAAGTAGACAGAGAGTCAGATTTTCTTACCTTTCTTTTGTTTGTCTCGGTAGCATCCTCTGAAACAAGATTAAAATCTCAAAAGGAATGGATTATAGCAGGTACCCAACTAAAGGAAGTGTGACTTGAGCGCAAACGCCTAACTTACATATCAAAGATGCTCTTTTTTAATGTATTTGATCAGGAATTATCATTTTATATTGCTTTTGAAGTAAAAAATACGCCACATGTGTAAAAGCCATAATGAAACATCAAGAAAGTAGAGTTTAAGCTGTTCTCAACTGCCACTGACGGATTTCCCCTATCTACAGAGTTCTCCTTAGCTTTAACCATTTCAACTTTCATTTTTACAGATGTGACTTCCTTGGGTGAAATGTCACAGAAACATAGAAGATGCTTCCTTTAATCATCCTTAATGATTAAACTGTAAAGGAACTGGCCTTCTGAGAATTCTTTCCGAAGCTTGAACTTAGGGCCATCACATCACAGTGTTGTTACAGCTTCAAGAAAATTTTGCAGGTCATTTCAATGCATGGATATTTTTAAAGTACATTCTAGTTATTCAGGAATGGTTATTTGGCCCCAAACCTTACTTTTTTAAAGAAGCAATCAAAAATCACAATGCAGTGAAATGCCTTCTATATGTGGTTACCTTTTACATTTATACAGCTGGAGAATAACTGAAGACTAATTTGTTTCTGTAAAAATGTAAGCACAATCTCTTCATTATTTGGGAACAAGGAAGAAGACAATGCTGTGTGTTTCTTTTAAATGTTTTCACTTATTTCTTATCCTTTGTCTGTGGGCCTCTTGGGTAATAATTATGAAATTAAACTTCTGACATTCAAATTTCAGTTATTTTCAATTAAAAAAACACTCAGCCCCAGTTCTAGGACTAAGTGAAAAAAGATCTCTGAACAAGAAAAAAAGCAGTAATTAAGTCCATAAATTTTAGCCTCCCCCAAACTGAGAAAATACCTGAAAGTCAGGACATATTGACTTGGAGTAGGAAGTGAAAGATGGCATTCGTTGGTCGAGCTTGTATGTCCCATATCCTCTAATAACTTTCCGTGTTCTCAATTACAACTGATTGTTAACTAAGAGCCACAGTGGCTGATTATGAAAAGAAAAACTACACACAGAAGTAAGAGATCAAAGTTTGGGGAAGCCAAAGAATGTCAAGTAGTAGCCACCAGAGCAGTCTGGGACTGGTTAAAGGCACATAGTTTTAGCTCAGTAAATTTTAACATAGTACAATAAGCAATCTTTTTGATGTTACCAACTCACCCAAGAAACTGTTTCATCTATTTTATACACTGTGTTTAATAAGGCATTAAAGTGTGTAATAGGTTTGAGAGTGGTTTCTTTAAAATGATCCAAGTTCTTCTTAATTGACTCATCAAAGCATAAAGTTTGGTATTCTAGAAAACTCAATTCTCAGCAATATGTTACTGTAATTTAAGCATTGTGCATTAGATATCCTTTCAGAACACAAATATAACTTATTCATGGACCATAGATTTAGTGTAAGTTTGGAGAAGTTTATAAACTCTCTGGAAAACACTTCTTTAAACTCTGGTAATCACTGCCAAAGAGACCTGATATGAGGAAGGAAAGATGTTTGGCCAGGAGAGCAGAGTTTATTTTAGTGTAAGATAAAAAGTGTTACAAGACATCATATTCATACTGAAAGAAGAGAGAAATGGGTCATTGTTCACTAAAATGAACATGGGCAATCTTCACTAAAAATGTATAAATGTGTGATATATAAAACAAACTAAGAGAAACATAGAAGGGAACATACTGTTACTTAGAATACAGAATGGTTTTATATATAATTTCTTAGTTTTAGAGATGATTTTCCAACTGCTGAAGCCTTTAAGTTTAGGAAGAAAACAATAAAGGAATGATTCTTTTCATTGTGAGAGAGGGGCTATAGCAAAGAAAAACAAATTTTGAGAAAGCTCACCAATTCCGGTTTTCATACACTTGCCTTAGAGAATTAGCAGTGTTACATGGGCTGATATCCCACAGAAATCGTTATTTGAAAGAATTATTTAAGAAGTTATCGTTTTTCTTGCCTACCTTTCCTTAACCTTCTAAAGCATTATAGAAATGTATACTGTTTCTTGGAAGTGCTTTATTCTCTCTTTCTCCCATTTGAGAATTCGTAAACTTCCAATCCAACTGGTTACAAGTGCTTCATGCTTTGACAAAATGTTTCCAAACCTAATTTAGCCTAAAAATTTCTCATGGTGAAGATTCAAGTTCAATTAAACCAATTGCTTTTCTATCTTTATTTTATTTTTTAATTCAAAATTATGCTTATGGCATCCAATTTAATTGATGTATGTGGTCCCAATATATTGATTTATACTCTCTATGCCAGTGTGTAATGCATTTGTCTCATAATATAACATATACGTAAGACTTCCATGAAGAAAAAAGAAAAATGTTTTCTTCACTCGTAACTATTTTATTTCATGTTTTAATTTTTACCCCTACTTTACACAAAGCAGAAAAATAAGTCAGTAGTATACTAGTTTAAATAGGGCATTCTGTTAGTGTAGCAGAAAATTAAGACATTAATTTCTGTTAAGAATATGACGAGTCATCTCATTTATGTGTCCAGTGTATTGTATGTTACTAAATCTGGCTATACTGAATTGAAAAGTCATTAGAAGGAAATTTTTATGTAGTTTCAAAGAAATACATTACCTTTTTTTTTCTCTCTTTGTTCCTGTGTGAAGTCTTATTAAAGCAAATTGTGAATATAGATTTCTGGGTTCTGGCATCAATTGCATAATCAATTTTTAATGATAGGATGTTGATTCCTGGCTATACTGTCTTACAATTTACACTACAAGTTTAGCAAGTTCTACCCATAACCTACAGATAGCTTTGGGAAATTAAATTTCTTAAAGCAAATTATTAAAAGATAACAATGGAATCTTCTCAAAGGAAGAAGTGGCAAATACTTTTTGAATGGCATCACCTCAAAGATTCAAAATGCATGAATGTTGTTCAACTGCTCCAAAGTTAATAAACATGAGATGATGAAAACACGAGTTTTGTCTTTCTTTCTGATAAAACGTTTGTGTTCACAACTGGTGTAAATAAACAGGCAGTACTGAGCAACCAATCCTTAGGTAAATTTGAGTGGCTCCTAACAAGTATATACAGCACTACAAACAAATTACTCAGCATGGTCTATGCTATGCTTTGTTCATTTTGTATGATGGGATATGTTTACCTTTAAGCAACACACGATTAATGAAGTAAGGGAATGTGTATCAGCTCATCTGCTCATCTATTCTAGTCATTGATATTCTTTCATTATATAGTCATCTGGACACTGTTTCTGTGCCAGCACAGGAGGCAGACAAAATGGAAATTGAATTTCCAGTCTTAGATTCATGAAATAATCTTGTACAGATGTAAGCAGGAAAAGTTTAATGTAAAATTGTGGGGAGACATAAATAATCAAGGAAAAGCTAATGAGTTTTTGTTTTGTGTGTTGTTTTAGGCACATGGAGTCTAGCTTCTTACATACCTGCTAACAGTCTGAAGTATTTTCTGATGTTGTGGAGGAGGCAGAGTTGAGTATTAAACCAAAAAGTGCACTGTTTTGTAAGAAAGTTGTCTTAATATCTGTCTCTGAGACATCTAGTACTACTCTCTTCAGAGTTTAATAAATGATATATTCCTGTTCCTCAAAAATGTATTTATTTATTTGTAGTGGTCTCAGTGATAATTGTCCAGATTGACAGGAAAGAGATAATACAAATATCCAGCACAATCATAAAAAAAGAATATTTTTCATGCAAGTTAAGACAATATAATTCATTTTAAATTCCCAAGATGCTGTAAAAAAATATTTTGATTGATAGTTTAACAGTATAGTCATCACCAGACAACACTGAGTGCAGCTGAAGAACTCATGGAAAACACACCAGAGATACAGCACACTCCACCCCAGGTATACAAAGCCATTTTGATAGCCCCATGCCATTCAAACTGCAATTGATTGTCACCAATCACAACATAAGCCTTAGGTGTATAATATGTAAAATAAATGTCACAATTTCTTTATGCTTAAATAGCTATAATCTTTAAGCAGTAGAATAAGGAGATATATGTCTTGTTCTAATGTTCTTTTTTTTTGCATCTAGAGAACAAATTTTAGACATAGCATTTCCAAAACAAACTAAAAAAAAAACCAAAACAAAACAAATTCTGCATTAGGAGGCTATTTGATAAAACATTAAATTTGAATAAAATAGTTTTATGTGTGCGTGAGTATGAGAAAGTTTTATAAAAGAGATGTTTGGTATGGTATTTGTTAGCCTTATGTGGGTCTTTTAATTAATTAGAATGAAAAAAATTTGGAAATTCAGCTTCTCCATCACACTTGCTGCATTTCAAGGGCATAATGGTGACTTGTAGCTAGTGACTAGCATAATAGGCAGTGCAAATTAGAGAATGGTCACGTAATCACATAAAGTTCTGCTGGACAGCACTGTTTTATTCTAATAATAGTGTGATATGCATTGTATTACATGTAATACAGTTCAGAAAATACAGTAGGTTGTCCTGTTAGGTGCACCCTTCATTTTATAGTTGGGGGTAACTGAAGTCTCAAAAGAAAGTCACGTGAGTAAGCAGTGACATACACGCTTCTGTTTATTAGGGAACGGAGAAGTTAAAAGAGTTTAAAGTTCCCTTTGCAAACCAGCAAATGATATTTAAGTAATTGGCCACATTGAGTCTCATTCTGATCATAAAATGATGTTTCAGAAACCTCAAACCAACTCTAACAGTGTTTTAATCTTTAAATGCATGAGTAAATCATTTTAAATCTTCTGTAGGTCATTCCCAATCAATTGCTTGACACTGTAGCTTCATTTAACTAATTATAATTTTTAAAATTTTTCTTTAATCTAAATGGCTTGTGAAATTAAGACCTCAGGGGTATGGGTGTTTGATTCACTATTGATTAATGGGATGCACAATGGAAGAGTGTTAAGAAAACTCATGGTGCAGTTAACACACTGAAATGAATGATTAGGTAGCTATCTTTCCCAGGTTTCCCTCCCTAACTCTGCTCACTCTGTAGACTCCACCTTCATGCTTGTAGCCATCATGAACACAGTGTTATGCTAGCATTCAGGGTCAACTTTTCATTTTTTTAAGAGCCACAGTTTCCCTTAAACAAAACCACATTTGAATTCTATAAAAGGAGAATTTTATTTTTAGACATTAAACTGAGGAGCTTCACCCCTTTATCCAATCTTCTTTTTATAGTGTGCTCTGGAAAGTTATCATCACTGCCTTTTCCCTCCTTTTGGATATCTTTGAATATGTCAGTCTGGCAGCTCAGATAAGTACGCAATGAAATACGGTTTAGAAAAAATTTGAAACCTGGATGAAGGGAGCTGTCCTGAGTAGTATCACCGGTAGAGCCAGCTCCTCAATCGTTTACGTGCAGGAAAAGCCTAGAGAGCGTTGAGGTGGCACTTCGTGTCTGTCTGGTTCACTCATAATTCCTATTTTTAGCGTAACACTGGGTGTTAGCTATATTTTTAACAAATGGAAGAATTTAGCAAGTGTTTATCAACTACATATTAAATAAATAAATTTACAATATCTCACAGTAAGCAAAAGTTACTATTGTTTTCAACTCAATCTCTGGATCCATTTAACCTTCATACATTGTTAGACAGTTTCCAGTTACGTGAATAGAACCACACTTCAGATGTAATGTGAATGGTTTCTGTGACCTAATCTGGGCATCTGGTTCATATGTTTATCACCACAAATATTTACTTTGTATATGTTTTAATTTCTCCTTGCTTAAAAACAACAAAATCTTCCCTGATCCCCTCAAGCTCCTCAAGCTCATATCCCAAGTTGTTTTTTCTTCCCTTCAGAACAAAATTCCTCAAAATAGTGGTCTATTGTCAGTGGTTTCTATTGCTTTACCACATTCTGTTTAATCAAAAGTCCATCAAAATGTTCCTGTCAAAGCCATTAATAACCTTTTCACTGATGTTCTCAGTGAAACGGGAAAGTCTCAGTTCTCATCTCAGTGGACCGATGATCCCTTCAGATACAGTTGAACTACTTTTTCATGGAGACAGTTTTTTTTATTGGAGTTCTGGAGCATTCCTTTCTTTGTCCCCTCTTCCTTGGTAGCTATTCCCACACAGTCTCCTTTGCTGATTCTTATCTGCCCATTCTTTAACCTTGGAGTGACCTGGGTCTCAACCTTGGATGTTTTCTCTTTCTTATGTAGAGCTGGTCCCTAAACCGTGTCATCACAATACTGAGCAATATGGATCTGCTGAAAACTGTTAAATTTATATTTCCAACCTGGGCTGATTCTCTAAACTCCAAATTTACATATTTAGTGGTCTACTCAAATCACTGCTGGGAAGATTTTGTTACACATGTCATAACAAGCCCAAAATATCTGTG